AAGTGGCATACCTCTAAATGTTTCTGGAGCAATTCTCTAAAAAACTGCATTCAAATTTAGAATTTTATTTTTTTTAAATTTTCTTGTCATTTTTCTGATGTTATGATGTTGTGGAAATTCAAAAATGTCCCAAGGCTGAAGTTCTAAAGTCCATAACTCAACTAATATTAATCCGATTTTAAAGTGGCATACCTCTAAATGTTTCTGGAGCAATTCTCTAAAAAACTGCATTCAAATTTAGAATTTTATTTTTTTTTAATTTTCTTGTCATTTTTTTATTATGATTATTATGATTTATTATGATTTTATGTTATGATGTTGTGGAAATTCAAAAATGTCCCAAGGCTGAAGTTCTAGAGTCCATAACTCAAATAATCTTAATCCGATTTTGAAGTGGCATACCTCTAAATGTTTCTGGAGCAATTCTCTAAAAAACTGCATTCAAATTTAGAATTTTATTTTTTTTTAATTTTCTTGTCATTTTTCTGATGTTATGATGTTGTGGAAATTCAAAAATGTCCCAAGGCTGAAGTTCTAAAGTCCATAACTCAACTAATCTTAATCCGATTTTGAAGTGGCATACCTCTAAATGTTTCTGGAGCAATTCTCTAAAAAACTGCATTCAAATTTAGAATTTATTTTTTTTTAATTTTCTTGTCATTTTTCTGATGTTATGATGTTGTGGAAATTCAAAAATGTCCCAAGGCTGAAGTTCTAAAGTCCATAACTCAACTAATATTAATCCGATTTTAAAGTGGCATACCTCTAAATGTTTCTGGAGCAATTCTCTGAAAAACTGCATTCAAATTTAGAATTTTATTTTTTTTTAATTTTCTTGTCATTTTTTTGATGTTATGATGTTGTGGAAATTCAAAAATGTCCCAAGGCTGAAGTTCTAAAGTCCATAACTCAACTAATCTTAATCCGATTTTGAAGTGGCATACCTCTAAATGTTTCTGGAGCAATTCTCTAAAAAACTGCATTCAATTTTAGAATTTTATTTTTTTTTTAATTTTCTTGTCATTTTTCTGATGTTATGATGTTGTGGAAATTCAAAAATGTCCCAAGGCTGAAGTTCTAAAGTCCATAACTCAACTAATATTAATCCGATTTTAAAGTGGCATACCTCTAAATGTTTCTGGAGCAATTCTCTAAAAAACTGCATTCAAATTTAGAATTTTATTTTTTTTTAATTTTCTTGTCATTTTTCTGATGTTATGATGTTGTGGAAATTCAAAAATGTCCCAAGGCTGAAGTTCTAAAGTCCATAACTCAACTAATCTTAATCCGATTTTGAAGTGGCATACCTCTAAATGTTTCTGGAGCAATTCTCTAAAAAACTGCATTCAAATTTAGAATTTTATTTTTTTTTAATTTTCTTGTCATTTTTCTGATGTTATGATGTTGTGGAAATTCAAAACTGTCCCAAGGCTGAAGTTCTAAAGTCCATAACTCAACTAATCTTAATCCGATTTTGAAGTGGCATACCTCTAAATGTTTCTGGAGCAATTCTCTGAAAAACTGCATTCAAATTTAGAATTTTATTTTTTTTTAATTTTCTTGTCATTTTTCTGATGTTATGATGTTGTGGAAATTCAAAACTGTCCCAAGGCTGAAGTTCTAAAGTCCATAACTTAACTAATCTTAATCCGATTTTGAAGTGGCATACCTCTAAATGTTTCTGGAGCAATTCTCTGAAAAACTGCATTCAAATTTAGAATTTTATTTTTTTTTAATTTTCTTGTCATTTTTCTGATGTTATGATGTGGAAATTCAAAAATGTCCCAAGGCTGAAGTTCTAAAGTCCATAACTCAACTAATCTTAATCCGATTTTGAAGTGGCATACCTCTAAATGTTTCTGGAGCAATTCTCTAAAAAACTGCATTCAAATTTAGAATTTTATTTTTTTTTAATTTTCTTGTCATTTTTCTGATGTTATGATGTTGTGGAAATTCAAAAATGTCCCAAGGCTGAAGTTCTAAAGTCCATAACTCAACTAATATTAATCCGATTTTAAAGTGGCATACCTCTAAATGTTTCTGGAGCAATTCTCTGAAAAACTGCATTCAAATTTAGAATTTTATTTTTTTTTAATTTTCTTGTCATTTTTTTGATGTTATGATGTTGTGGAAATTCAAAAATGTCCCAAGGCTGAAGTTCTAAAGTCCATAACTCAACTAATCTTAATCCGATTTTGAAGTGGCATACCTCTAAATGTTTCTGGAGCAATTCTCTAAAAAACTGCATTCAAATTTAGAATTTTATTTTTTTTTTAATTTTCTTGTCATTTTTCTGATGTTATGATGTTGTGGAAATTCAAAAATGTCCCAAGGCTGAAGTTCTAAAGTCCATAACTCAACTAATATTAATCCGATTTTAAAGTGGCATACCTCTAAATGTTTCTGGAGCAATTCTCTAAAAAACTGCATTCAAATTTAGAATTTTATTTTTTTTTAATTTTCTTGTCATTTTTCTGATGTTATGATGTTGTGGAAATTCAAAAATGTCCCAAGGCTGAAGTTCTAAAGTCCATAACTCAACTAATCTTAATCCGATTTTGAAGTGGCATACCTCTAAATGTTTCTGGAGCAATTCTCTAAAAAACTGCATTCAAATTTAGAATTTTATTTTTTTTTAATTTTCTTGTCATTTTTCTGATGTTATGATGTTGTGGAAATTCAAAACTGTCCCAAGGCTGAAGTTCTAAAGTCCATAACTCAACTAATCTTAATCCGATTTTGAAGTGGCATACCTCTAAATGTTTCTGGAGCAATTCTCTGAAAAACTGCATTCAAATTTAGAATTTTATTTTTTTTTAATTTTCTTGTCATTTTTCTGATGTTATGATGTTGTGGAAATTCAAAACTGTCCCAAGGCTGAAGTTCTAAAGTCCATAACTTAACTAATCTTAATCCGATTTTGAAGTGGCATACCTCTAAATGTTTCTGGAGCAATTCTCTGAAAAACTGCATTCAAATTTAGAATTTTATTTTTTTTTAATTTTCTTGTCATTTTTCTGATGTTATGATGTGGAAATTCAAAAATGTCCCAAGGCTGAAGTTCTAAAGTCCATAACTCAACTAATCTTAATCCGATTTTGAAGTGGCATACCTCTAAATGTTTCTGGAGCAATTCTCTAAAAATCTGCATTCAAATTTAGAATTTTATTTTTTTTTAATTTTCTTGTCATTTTTCTGATGTTATGATGTTGTGGAAATTCAAAAATGTCCCTAGGCTGAAGTTCTAAAGTCCATAACTCAACTAATATTAATCCGATTTTAAAGTGGCATACCTCTAAATGTTTCTGGAGCAATTCTCTAAAAAACTGCATTCAAATTTAGAATTTTATTTTTTTTTAATTTTCTTGTCATTTTTCTGATGTTATGATGTTGTGGAAATTCAAAACTGTCCCAAGGCTGAAGTTCTAAAGTCCATAACTCAACTAATCTTAATCCGATTTTGAAGTGGCATACCTCTAAATGTTTCTGGAGCAATTCTCTGAAAAACTGCATTCAAATTTAGAATTTTATTTTTTTTTAATTTTCTTGTCATTTTTCTGATGTTATGATGTTGTGGAAATTCAAAAATGTCCCTAGGCTGAAGTTCTAAAGTCCATAACTCAACTAATATTATTCGGATTTTGAAGTGGCATGCCTCTAAATGTTTCTGGAGAAATTCTCTAATAAACTGCATTCAAATTTAGAATTTTATTTTTTTTTAATTTTCTTGTCATTTTTCTGATGTTGATGTCACGACCACGCGTGTGAAAATGTTGTTGAATTTTTTTACACAATTTCTACCGATATTCCAGAAAATGTTGAAATTTCTCGCTTTTACTAGCTGAGTAACGGGTATCTGATAGTCGGGAACTCGACCATAGCATTCTATCTTGTTTTTTTTTAAAGCTACTATTATAGCTGTATAGCTGTTAATAAATAAATTAAGTAAGCAAAAGTGCTCCACATTTGGCAGTTGCACTACAAGCAAAAAAGCAGCTACATTTTCATGTGTAATTGGGTGCCGTGCCGCCAGTGCAACCCAAATTTCTTGGGAGACTGCTAAGTGTTTTGTCTTGTAATTTACAAATGCAAAATGGCCAAATGTGACAAAATGCATTCGAATGACAATTTATCGTGTTGCTGCCTATTCGACGACGCACTGCTTCCTTGGTGATTGGGTGGCGAGGTGCCCCCAGTAATCCTCCCGCTCCATGGATCTCCTGGAGCCAAACAAACTAGTTTACGCATTTTGCGTGTGCCAACAGGCATTGATAGCCGATGTGGCTTTATATTTATGGGCCTAGCCGGGCGTGGCCTTGATCTAGAATTTCAGTTGTTTTTCCGATCTTTTCATTTTCATTTTCATTTTCATTTTGTGATTTTCGCTTGCGTACAACGCGGCGTATGTGTGATGTGCGTCGCTGTGATCTCGAGCGATCTCAGGTGTGTTAAGGTGATGTTTTCGTGTTCACCGCTTGCACCGCACTTGCACTTGCGTAATCACAGTTTACAGATCACCGATCGGGGTGCTAAGTACCGGTTTAAATGGCCGCCCAGACAAGTTACTTGTTTCTTAGATATTTTATGCATCTGAACTGAAGCGCCTGTGGTGGAAACGCGTGCGATTATTTTTACTCATTTTTTTTGCTGTATTTATCTTTCTGCACTTGTAATTTATTGAGAAATTTAATTGAATTCGTATGCTCGCCAACCGGTCGCATAATTTTTGTCCACCCGATTACACATTGTGCAATTACTCGATCCCATACGTTTTTCCCCAAACACTTATCACAGTTTTCGCAAACAGTTGGTGGCAAAAAACATTCTTTGAAAACAATACATCAGGTGTTTTTATGATAGTACACTGAGAAAAGGTTTAAGCTGAATTATAGGGGCGTTGTAAGTTTTTTTCTCTACCTATATTTAATTTTTCTGCAGTGTACACCCTTGGCTATATAAAAGCTTGTGTGCAGATTCTTGTTCATATTGTTGGAATCAACTACATAGATGCGTTTCACAATCATTTGCATTTTCTGCCTGGCAGCTGTGGTCCTGGCTGTCGACATGGACTCGGATTCCTTACAGGATCAGTACGAAAGGGAACAGTACAATATACGCAAAAGTTTGTTAACCATGAATCTTCTTAGCCATAACCCAACTGCCAAATCTTGTAATTTGTAACTTGCAGAAATTTGCCTGCAAAGTATGGAATACGGAAAGTGCAAGGGCCGCCGGAAACTTTGGTACTACAACACCGACAAATCCAATTGCCAACCTTTTATCTACTCCAATTGTGGTGGCAATGGCAATCTTTTCTATACCAAAGAAAGTTGTATGGAATTTTGTGGTAGATACAACTGGAAGAAGGGTCGAAAGACAGGTCGCCTGAGTACAGCTGCTGCTAGAAGTAAAGATGGAAATTAAATGCCTTTTTCTATCTACTTGAATAAAATATAATATATTTTATTTAATAGAAATTACTAATTCATAAAGGTGCTGAATTTCAAGCTATATTACCTGTGTAGTTCAGACCACATTTTCATTAGCTGTAAAGAGTATAAATAACCAACGAAATACATTTAGAGCACATTTTTAAATGAAATAGCCAACGAAATACATGTTAGAGCACATTTTGAAATGAAATTGCTAATCGACTTTTTGTGCCTTTTGGCGGTTTTTGTCTCAACAGTTCAGAGTGCAGGAGAGCGGAAGGGTAATTTGAAGTATTTTATTTACATATTGTAAAAAGTATTTCATAAATATCTTATTGCAGCTTTTTGTTACCTTCCCCACGAGTTTGGTAAATGTGATGGCCATCGCATTATGTGGGCTTTTTCGAATAAGCAACAAATGTGCGTGCCATTCGCTTTCTCCAATTGTGGCGGTAATGAAAATCGCTTTTTTACCAAGGAAAACTGCGAGAAAGCTTGCGCACCAATTCAATCTCGATTTGTTCTCTCTAATTAGATATTGGAAATAATAATATTTTTATACAAGTGATAAACCAACGAAGCTATCATTATTTTACTGGCTATATTAACTACTAACTTTTCTATTGAAGGGAGTTATAATTTACCTTTTAGCACAATAATAGCAAAAGGAAGTTGTGGCAATAGAAGCGGTTTTTTACCAAAGCTCACGGCAAAGCTACTTTAGCCAAATTGGAATTAAGGCGAATTGCGCCCAAATTTCGTAGCTTCCCTTTCTCTCTTATTTGCTGTTTTACCCGTCTGCTCTATACACTTTAAAATTATTTTTGATTTATGGATTGTATAAATTAAATTAAAAAAAAAAAAGTGTAATATAAAATAGTTTTCATGTGCAGTATTTTTAAATGCATAGAAACAAATACCAGCTGTCGCAACGAAAACTTACAAGTCGACTGCAAATGTTCACACCTAAAACGCTTTCGTTTTGACCACGTTTTGTTGGCGTCTGGCGGTTTTTTTGGTACAACTCGTAGCCGGCGCTCATGAACAACTGGAGGGCAGAACAAGCAGTGGAAAGCTTCTCACCAGCTCGCCGTGCACTTCCACTTCCATGTACATATGTATATATTCGTAGTTAATCCCCCCTGGTAAAAAAAAAAACAAACACAAAACAAGCTACACATATTCCCCCACAGGGGCGGAACTTGAGATTGTCAAGGGCTGGGCAAATATTCGTTGCTTGCTGGCATTTGGACCAGGCTAACAGCATTGGCAGTGGCGAAATGAAAGCTCTCGGCGGTAAAGTTTGTTCGCCAGATGTTTTTTTTATTTTTTTTCTGTTTTCTGTTCATTTCTCTGGGCTTTATTGTGCGCCGTTAGAGGCATAAATCAACGATGAGGGGCCAAAATGTGCAAGTTTACAGGTTGACTCGACTCGCCGCTCGTACGCAAAAAGCACATTATGGCCAGAATGGCAATCGCAATTGGCCAATAGCGAAATCAAAGAATAAAGTCACGCAATTTCAATTACAAATAAACGCACTGACGGTGAAATGGCCATTGATGGCGGGGAGAATCGGGCATCCCGATGCCGACTATACACATACATACATCCATGGCAATAGCTATAGTAATAATAATAATAAAAATAATAATGAAATTGTGATAAGCTGCGCGCCACAAATTGCACGCAAGTGAGACGGAGAGACAATAATTTTAGCCGTTAGCTCAAGATGGGGCATCAAATGCAGCCGACCAGCGATGCACACGTGACACGATTGGTAACGGATATCTTTTAGATACAATTTGATTAAATTTGCTTAAATGCTATAATATTTGATTTTAACGTTTTGAAAACTAGTAACTTTTCAAATGAAATAAAATTAAATTGGTCATGAATTGAACTTTTATGAATTTGTTAGCTTTCAAGCCACAGCTCAAAACCAATCAATAAAAAAAAACAAGTAACAAAATTTAACGCAGTCGACGCTATGTTGAGTACCTCTCTAATTAGCATGGAAATTAATAACAGTTTAAGATTTAATCAAAAGTGCATAGCCATGCTTAATATTTAATCGCTTGCCGATTTTATGCGCGAAATCATTTTGAAAAGATTTTATCTGAAATGGTAAAAGGTCTTAAATTTTGTCGTGGCTCATAATACTCGAATACACAACTTGCCGCTTTGGCAGACAACAAATGTGAAGCTCACGTTCAAGAGGACGCGACGTCATTCTGGCTGGCTTGAATCTTCGCCTCTATGGGATGTCCAACAACATTAGGCCCGATCTGCGCTCCGTTGTTGGCCAGAGCCAATTAATATTCGCATGATCAAATGGTTAACGCATTTAGCCGGAGAAAAAACCAACAAGGCAACGCGCCGCTTCGCAAACCGGCTCACATTAAATTCGCATTTACGCGTTTGCCTTTGTGTAACTGATCGAGGTTTTCCCCCTGATTTTCCCCTCAGCAATTCTCATCTTCTTTCTGGACCCAAGGATTCCATGGCCTATGGGAAAGTGGGCCTTAATTGACATCACGAGGCGTTTAAATTGCCGCCTGACCCCGCCAAGAAACGAAAAAAAAGAGTTAAACAACTGGTGGCCTCAGTTAATTATGTATTTATTTAGTATTTTTCCGTCATTTTCAGTTTTTGCTCATTCTTTTGCTTCGGATAAACACTTAAAAATTTTGAATTTGCGTTGTCACCACTTTGCAATCTGCATGCCGTATATATGTGGGTTTTTTGGTTTATGTTTTATTAAATTTCTTTAGTTATGGGCTAGGCTGGTTGAGTACGACTTTTGTATATATTGTTTAATAAAATTGATTTATTTTCCGTGTGCGCGTGTCTATGGCATAACAAACTGCTGCCCAGAGAAAGTTGGGTTAAGATGAGTTTTTTCCTTTTTTTATTTGTAATAATCTTCGATTTTGTATTGAGTAGGTAGGTACTTAATGGAATCTCTTGTACCACAAGCAGGCTAACATTTAAAGCGTTCGCATACACCGATAGAGAAGGGTCGAGAAAACGCCTCGTTAAGGTCTAAATCCAAAGTCATAGATAGGTATTCTACGTAAATCAAGTCAAAATGATAGCTAGTTGTATAACAACGAGGCCTGGCCTCAAACGAAAACAAATTTTACAATCGAATAAATGCAAATACACGTGTGGTTTGATTAATGCTTACGTAACAACTAAGGGACTAGTTAAAAGTTATTTTTAAAATTCGTAAAATATTCTCAAAACCATATTTTCAAATGCGGCTGACTCGTCACATCGATGCAGTCAATACATTCATTTCTACCATTTTGTAAGCAGGATATTCTGCTTATAACTTGCTGCGTTGTCTGTCCTTTGATTTGATTCGATTCGATTCGCTTAAATATTCAATTAAAAATTATATAACAACACGCATACATATCAATATTAGAGTTAGTCGTATGTATATATGTATGTATAATATATAGTAAATGTGATTAGCCAATAGGTTATAGATCTTCATGAATGCGGGATATGATTTTGCATTGCTCTTTCTGTATCAATTTAATTCTTTGCCTTTAGCATTCAACATTAATAAAATTGTTTAATAAGCCAATATCTTTTAATTTCCTCGCTCGTACGCCAAACGTGATTTTCCATTCATTATGTTAAAATTTGCTAAAACATTTTCATTTACTATTGTTTTATATCGTCAAGCTTACTTGTTTATCCTTTATACCACATAAATGCAATATCTCAATATGTTTTTGGAATCGGGATGCAATTGTTACCCCTTCAAAATGTTCTAATGCTGATTCTTCTTTGCAAAATGTTTTAATAATAAAGTCGATTGCAAAGGAAAGCTTTCTGTTTAACTTGGAATTGGTGAAGCTCTAATTAAGTCTTCATTTTTGTATTTGGTGCATTTCTCTTAATTGGAAAAAAATTGTGCCTTTTGGTTGATTGTGAGTCTTTTTTGTTCGTTTCATTTGTAGTTTCTTCTTTGGCCATTTGAATAGTTAAATAATTAGAAAAAAACCCCATTTCCCACTCGTATAAAAGTCAAATGCGCAAGGACTACAAACTACCAGTTGCCCTACAAAAATTCCCTCTAACTACAACTTGAACAGTGCCCCATAGTTGGTGAGGCAAAATAGTTTGGCGCACAGGCTGCGACTCCGACTGTGACTGCGACCGTGACTGTGACTGCGACTGAGACTGTGACTGAGACTGTGACCTGGCCTGAGTGGTGCCGTTGGTGTCGGCAGTGCTTGCATTCCTGGGGCCAGGTCCTGGCTCTATTTCCCGCCACAATACTCGCCCTGCAGCATTCCATTGTCCAGGAGTAGTGCTGGCGTGGTGGAGATTCCATCGCGCAGTGCCAGTTGATAGGCCACCTCGAAGGCCTGTCCCAGAGTCAGGATGATCTCGCTGGCCAGGTCCTGCAACAGTCAAGTGTTAAGTGTTTCATAGACGTGGATGCATGTGTGTACTCACTGTGCTTTCGACCAGGAAAACGTGGCAGTAGTGCAGATCCTGCTCCTTGGTGATGTAGGCAAAGTGCCTCAAGTCCTCCGAGTCCTGGCAGGCGCAATTGATGTTCTGAATCTCGTGCTCGCAAATAGTGCGCTGTAACATAGCACCTTTAATAAGGTATTTACCCAAATTATATTAGCATTGCAAATCACCCACCTTACTGCTCACGTCCTTGAACTCGACGCCACGGTGACAAATTGCCAGCGAGAGTGGTGACCCCGATTTGACTTCACCCTCAGCTGAGGTCTTCAGCTTTTGAATGGACTTCTTGGTGGACTCTGTGCCACGTAGTTCTTTCACAACCGTTGAGCCGAGATACTGTCAAGGAAATGGAATACCAGAAGGTATAGCTTAGTCTGAGGCAGTATTTTTAATGCTTAAGAATTCGCGTTTTTACGTTTACGTTTAACGCAGGATATACAATCGTTGGTAAGCTTACCTGAACCTCGTAATTGATGTGCTCGTTGAGCAAAGTCTGCGCCGAGTGGCGCCATTCGGTGGTCCTAAGATTGGCCGGTAGACCCAGCAGTAGCTCCGATGGAGCTCGTATTTGCAGAGCGGCTGTCTTTCTAGCTGGCGGAGCCGGCGGTGGTGGTGCAGGTCTTGAAAACATAGAATCTGGCTTAGAGAAAGGTGTTTCCAAAATCTAGAGATCATATCTTACCGACTCTTGCGATAGCCAGTGATGGAGTTGCGATGATGCACGGGATTGGCGGGTAACCGGGTAGGTGCCTCCCTGGCAGTGCCATTGCCATTCGTTGTCAGCTGATTGGTTTCATTGTTTTCGCCCAGCGGCGTCTTTTGCGACTTGGAGTCGCTGTCGCGCATCTGGCGGATATAGGCCAGCGATTGCAGGATGCGTCTCCGGTGGCCCAGCTTGTTGATTTCCAGCACAGTCTGCAGTTCCACATCCCAAACTCCGCACACGCTCTCAATGGTGTTGTATAGATGCTTGCTGCAACATGTTGTAAACAGGAAAACCTCTGAGTTGGGGAAGTGGTCATGAAAGTATTTATAGTGGTACCCACTTGAAAAACTCCAGGTACTCCGGCAGGGCAATGGTGTTGAGCCACTGCTGTAGGGTGGCCACACCCATCTGCTTGTTCTCCTGCTGCGTCTTGACTGGCACCTGTGGCTGGAACTCCGCCGGCGGTAGACTCTGGACGAAGCGCAGCAGCTTGGGGGC